GCACACGCATATTCATGTTCCAACACTGGCTGAAGACTAGGCGTGAGTCCAGGCATCGGGACCCTGTTGGGAGTGCTCTCTCTCTCTCTAGCTCTTGCTCACTCATGGAAGAAATAAATAAACTTAAAACAATAGCAATGAACCACAAACTGCCCAGATTGGTCACTGGTCACTGTATTTTCTTCCTCTTCTGTCCCTCATGACTGTGTCTTTGGGCAGGTAACCACTATGAGTTGGAAGTTACCTCCTTAGCAAAGCAGGCTCTGATGAAAGGAGTTGATGTCTTCTTGGTGTCCTAATAATATTTGGTTCTGGAATTGGCAGCTGGCAGAGGCTAGCTCTGTCCTTAACATGGCCCCTTTGGCTGCTCCCTTCCCCAGGGCAAACTAATGTCAGAAAGAATCAACCAACAGCACAATAAATAATTGATCTCCACCATGTGCTCCAAATTCAAATAAAGGGCATTTAAACACAAACACTGTACTGCATAGGAATGAAGTATTGTGTGTGGAAAGTTGAAGGATTCTGAAAACTTTCTATAAAAAAGTTTTCACAGTGACTAAATCTCTTGGGGATTTTTCTGTCTCAAGTTCAAGTTACTTAGATAGTGATTAAGGATGTTTTACAGGCCCCTGAGGTAAATGATAGCATAGAGGAAAAAGCATTCTTTGGCTATGCAATTTAGCAAGACATAATCTATTTGTTTGGGTTTTCATCCATTGGGCTTGCTGAAATACTTTAAATAATTAACCTGCTTCTCTGCAGCCTGCCGAGTCTCCAAAGTTTCCATTCCGGGCCTCAGATGAATGATCGCCTTATTTATTTAGAAGACTCAATCACAGTCCAGCTGCTTGTTCTTGGGACAAAGGACAGACTTTAGACACAGTGTCCATTTACTTTGCAGAATTTATAAAACAAAATAATCAATGAGACCAAACAGGAAAGGGTAGTAGTTTTTGGTTTTGTTTTAAATTTATTTAATGAATTAATTAAATTTCCCCTGCTAGATTGCTAGGTACTCAACAACTAGGAGTTTATTGAACCTCACAACTTTAAGGGGTGTCGACTGAAGTCTCCAAACTGGACAAACAATTCCAAGCCCCAAGAATAGACATTCCCAAGGCAAGACTCACAGGGTGACAATGATGAAGCAAGAGGTCACTGCCTGTGGCCACTTCTTATGACCCAATTAAGTGGGCATAGAAATAGAGATCTGTTATGTTGGATTAGCAATGAGAGCAGAGAGAGAAGCCCTCGGGCACTGGCTGGAAGATGAGGTTTTCTTTACTGCAAAAAACCTCTAAAGTAATCTCTGACAATGCTATGATTGTGTCTCTTGAAGAAAATGCCCCTTGTTGGGGGCCTTGCTACATCTCTGGCCACTGATTTATCTGAACAGAGTCTGTTACTACCTTCTGTTTTCAGAGACCTCATATCTAGGAGAAGCTCTACAGAGAATCTGCCAAGAACTTCCCTGCTGCTTAATTTCTGTGCTATATGTGTCTCTCGCTTGACCCGCACGTGGTGTGTGGTGCCCTAAGTTGGTTTTCTCCACAGCATGGGTCATGCTGTTCCTTTAAAAATGAAAGTGAGAAGAGAAAGACTACAGTGACTTTAGAATTGAGACAGAGCTTTGTGATTTATAGAGTCCCATGGGTGTGTAGGCGTGGTTTCTAGATACCCACAGGCAATGCTTACCTTAAAAGACACGGGTTTTACACATGCTTTGCAGAACATTCCAAACAGAAAAAGCAAGCTTGTAATGAGTGGGGCTAATAGGATATTTTCAACTGAGTAGGATCTGGTGTCCGATCTTTTAAATAGAAGTGGTTCGGAGAATCTCTTTTGCACATATACTGGCAACTCAGAAAATAAAGACATCCAAATATTTAAATTGAGGATTTAGGTTTCATGCTATATATTTAAAGTCCTTTTGAATGTTCTAAATTGATATAATTTGTTTTCACTGGGGAGTCTGAACCAATATTAACGGTTTTCTTTTTTTGCCCAAGCTGTGCAGTAGCTGCTTTGCCTGGGTCTCCAGACCATTAGCTGGAGTGAAAGTCCCATGTAAGCACAGAACGTAATTCTATGGAGGGGAAGGAAGAATATGATAAAGGGCAGCCCGACAGCAAGCCTGGTCAATCTTTTTATCGAGGTCACTCAGCCATCAGTGTCTCAGAGGGATTTCCAGGCCAGAGGCAATTCTTTTGTGTTTGCTTTACAATAATAGTGGCATTTCCTCAGCTCCCCAGAAAATATGTAGTTTCCGTAGTGACCAACTCCATCACATGTCGTGGGCAAGTACAAGTTGAACCTGAATCATGCCTGATTTTTTTTTTTTTTTTTTTACTTACCAACCTTGTTTCTGAATAATTCCCTTTAGAAACCATGCTTATTTTCACTCTTGCAAAACAAACCTGGGGAGATACATTCTAGGGCTGCAGGCTCTCCTGTTTTTCCACTTTTCCTCATGGAAGGTGTCCTCAGTTCTAGTTCTTATAAGATTGCTGCTAGACCTTCAGCTACCAAGATGGAGTTCAGAAGGGGAAGACAGGGAAAGTAAAAGACCCCACTAAGTCATCCTCTATAGAAGAGTTTTTATAAGGACCACAGTCAGATTTCTGCTAGCATCTCAGGGACTAGAATAGTGTCCCTTAAGCCCCTCTAGTTGTAATGGGGTCAGAGATCACAGTTGTCATTGTTCAAAACCTGAGCACATAGTTGTCCAAACTAGGAATTTGTTAGAAGAGGTAGAAAATTGGATATTTGATGAAGTGGGCATTTAAAATATCCACCTCTCTGCTTTATGGGGATTAAGTATATCTACAGGAAGCAACTTGACAGTGATAGATGATGAGTGGCACATAAAAATAGTATTATTGGGACTAACAGTTAGTGTAATGGCTGTGTCGTTGGACTCCCACATAGTCGATGGCAGTTCGCGTCCCGGACCCGGTGGCTTAAACTCAAGCCTGGCGCATGTGCGTGCATGCCCAAGATCCCAAGAGGAAAATGGAGGAGAAGGGATTGCGGCATGGCCATCCCCCTAAGGGGTGATTTCTCGCTTTCTGTCTCTCTGTCTTTCTCTGTCTTTCTGGCGAGTGCACGCACGCTATAGTGAAAACCTCTCAAAAAAAAAGGAAAGAAAATAGTATTACTGGGTGGCCCCATAGCCTAGTGGTTAAGGGAGCTGGGTCCCATATGGTCAATAATTATAGTTGGAATCCCAGCCATGGCAACTTGAAAAACATGTCAAGCATGTATGTGTGCATGCCCAAAATTCCAACGGGATGGAGAGATGGACAAGAAGTCATTATAACATGACCGTGCCCCATAGATAGTGCTTTCCCCTTCTCTCCCCCTCTCCCCCCTCTCTCTCTCACTGGTATGCACACACACACACACACACACCCTCTGGCAGTTCAAACAAAATAAAAAAAGAGAGAGAGAAAATAACATTTTCTTTCTTTGAGTTTATTCACTTTTTGAGGGCCATTGGCTGGAGTGAAAATATACTATGACACCCAGTAGAACAATGCCTTGATGCCACTATTTATTTTCTGTCTAATTAACTCAGTGAATAATTTCATTTTTAGGGAGAAATGGATGGCATCAGAAAAAAAAAATGTAACCTACTTCTTATTATTGGCAAAGCATTTGAAACTAGAAATGCCATTTTGCACACAGCCTGTATGTAATGCTTACAGAAGCAACTAATTGTTATTTCATATATAGCGTTCTACAAGCTGTTAAAAACCCATCAACACAGTCTGCAAGGCTGCTTAAGTTCTAATTATACAGGCAGTATTCTCATTTTCCTTGCACTGTGTCAGTGCTGACCAAATGAGCAAGCAGTTTAAACTGCCGGGAATATCTGTCCGTGCTCACTTTTTTGTATTATTTTAAGATCTTTATTATTAAGTAGCTCACTGAGCCTGTCAAACTATGTTCTAAATCTACATGGAAAATTAGAGAAAAGTATTACAGGGAATGTTGATTTCACATTCCAGTCTGAGTATGAGTTTGTGCGTGGAGGCATGTAGCACAATGGAATGTCTATTCCCCTATTCTGATCATGACGAGTCAAACATCTTAGGCAGAGTCCAGGAACTAAATAAAAAGTGAAATAAAACAACTAGGTCAATGTGAAACAAGTTAAAAAAAAAAAAAAGACTTTTGTTTGTTGTCATGGTGGCTGCTTTCTACTTTGGAGATTGTAGGACTCCAATTATCTGGGTAATTGCTACTACAAAATGCAAGTCGACATTGTGTGTGCAATTTTAAAAATGGAGTTAGCCTTTCAGACATAGTTGTTTTTTAGAAGTCCTGTTCATAGCAGGCCTCGGTTATTTATCCCCAAAGCAACCTTCCTGCTAAGGCCTTTGGACACAGAATTCATGTGATGCTACATCCCAAAAGCTTTAAAATAATGAAAAGTAAATGAATAAAGATGGGGAAAAAAATGGAGTTTGCATTTCTAAAGCAAGATAGAAAAAAAAGTACATTTCTTAGATCTCTGATATTAAGCTTTGAAACAGTCTTGCAAGTCGTGATCTGAACAAATCTCTTATCCATAAAATTATAGGCAGAAAAGTTTTGCATGCATGCACTTAAAAAGTAAACTTCATTGTGCTGAAACAAAAGACAGAAGAAAAGGAGAGAAGAAATAAAAGGCAGAAGGGAGGTAGAGGGAGCAGGAGAGGACGAAGGAAGAAAAGATGTGTATGAGGGGAAAAAGATAAAGAAAATTATATATATTTCCCTTTTACTGGCAATCATGGATTTATGACTTAATGTAGTTTATTTGTATGGTTTAGTGTAAATGGAGGAACAGAGAAAACAACCTAATTTTCCAGAAAAAGCAAAAACTGTGTGTGTGTGTGTGTGTGTGTGTGTGTATGTGTGTGTATGTAAAATAAATAATAAAATAATATAAATAAGAACTATGGCATGTACTTATTGCCAAAAAAAAAAGAACACACAAATAATTCTAAATGTGGTAAATAACTCTTCAATTTATAAGGCTTCACACAGAGATGTTTGGAGTTATGCATAACACAATCATGATTAACATCTTTTAACATGGAAATAGAATATGCATATTTCTCTCCTGTCCTAAAATTGAAGCAATTACATAGCATGCAGATTACCCACTTAAAGTATATTAAAATCACCTTCTTTGTACTGTACTGCCCCAAATCTTCCATTTAAATGATTGTTCCATGTTCAATGAAGGCGTTTCTTAAAATCTGCAACTCAGATTTTTCATATCTTGTCAGATGATCAAGACAGGAAGCACATGTAACCACACTGAGGTACAGGTAAGCGGCCCTCCCACCCCTGTACCTTATAACACAGCCCAGTTTCAGTCTTTCAGGACATAGCCCAACGCTTCTTCCAAAGGGCCTGTGATGGTTTGTGGCTACTCCCCTTTCCCTCATTCCATTTCCATTATTCGGTTCCTTCCTTGAGTCCTTGAAGAAGATGGCAAATAGATACAGGAAGGCCCTTTGGTAGAGAACCTAGAAAGGTAGGTTGCCCTATTTCTGCCCTCCACTTTTTGGAGTCAACCGGGGCATTCAGAGAAAAGCATTGCTCTAAATAATGATGACAACTTTTCTTCTGTCTCATAGGTGAGACAAAACATAGCTTCTAGCACTCAGTGATCATTACTGGGCCAAGCGGTAGTGAGAAACAACTGTCTGAACTGGTGGCATTGTGAGTTTCTTGTAGCCGCCACCTCTGCCAAGCCACTGAACGAGGCAAACAGAGTTGCTCTAACAAGCCAGTTGATTTCACAGTTAAATGCTCAACATGACAATCTACTGAAGGTACATTCTGCATGTCTTGATTAGATGATGTGATGCTATTGATAGGAAAGCATTCATTATAATATCAATTTTGATATATTTTAAGAATTAAGTATTCATGCCGGCTTGCCTACCTTGCTGTTTATTCCGGCATCCTGTCTATGTTCCCCATTACTGAATACTGTACCTCTAATTGAAGATACAAGTATATAAGGTAATAAAAGGAGATAAAATGTCATCAACTGAACTTCTTAATAGCATTTTTAATCCAAAATGTTCTGGCAAAAACAAATTAATAATTGAAAAATATGGATTATTTTAGATGACATTTAACCAGGTTAAATCTACTCCATGTACCAACCTTCACCATAAAACATAGCGATATATATATATATATATATATATATATATATAATTTTTTTTAATTTGATTCTCAAAGAGCCATGTTTACAGCTACTTGACTTAAGGTGATAGGCTGCAGGAAAAATGATAGAAGGGAGCTCTCGTAATTACAATTCAAGACTACATTTGGGACTCTACAGAGATCCTATTTAAACTCAGGAGAGCTTTCTGATAAGGTGCTTCCTTACACTCATCTGTGGCAGAAGTGGTCTCCTCCGGATTTTCACAGCTGTTGACAATAGCAACTGCACTAAATGACCTTCGCCTGACCTTGGTGTCTGACGTGCAGGATCCTCGGACTGGCGGTGTTTTTTCCATGTTGTGGAGCTGCTGATCTTTCCAGTCCAGTTGTTTGGCACTGCAAAAGGGGGCATATACTTCAACGCTTCCCTCAAACTGTAAGCAGTTCACTTTGTAATACTTCCTTTTAACTTCCAGGACATCATTAAATCTATGGCCCCAGAGAATTTCTCGGGGAACATAGGAACTTCTAGATTGGTGGGAAGTCCCAGTGGAATCCCCAGTATAGATAAATGTCACCAGAATCTCAAAGTTATCTTTGGCAACTGCTTTGCGATCAAGGGCATACAGAGGGCTCTCATGGTCGATTTCATGAACAATAGTCACAGGTGTGACCAGAATGATCTGGTCATTGACTAACTTCAGGTCTTTAAACACCATTGTCATCCGTCCTTCACTATCTTCTGTGTAGCGGAGAAGCTGGGCTCTAACTGTTCCTTCTACCACGTGGTTTGGTCGGAAATCACCAACGCGCCACATAAGGCAAAGTTTTCCATCTCTCATGCCTATGAGTGCAAAATAGCTGAAACGGATGGTTTGGGCTCTTTTACGTGCAGTTGCCATTTTGGCCAAGGCAGCTCCAATGATGAAGGTATTTATGATGCAACTTAGGATGGATTGAAGGATCACCATGAGCACTGCCACGGAGCACTCTTCAGTGACACAGCGATAACCATATCCTATGGTGGTTTGGGTCTCAAGGGAGTACAAAAATGCCCCTGTGAAAGAATGGACGTTGTCAACACACGGTGTGATGTCTGGATCATTTAGCAGATCTCCATGATGAAAGGCTATCAGCCAAAAGATGGTGCCAAAGATCAACCAGGAGAGGATATAAGATAAGGAAAATATGATGAACATATGGCGCCATTTGGTGTCCACAAGAGTGGTGAAGATGTCGACCACGTAGCTCCCCCATTCTCCAAAAATGTGCTTGAAGTACACATTGCAGCTTCCATCCTTGTGGAGAAGCCTTCTTCTTGCTCTTCTTTTCTCAGCTATGATGTGTTCCGGGGGGTAGCCTGGGTATTTGCAGTCTGCATTCACGGTCCGATAGCTGCTGCCGTAATAGCTCATTCTCTGCCTGTACCCTTAGGGCATCCGGGTGAGTTTGACGGTATTAACAGTTGTAAGTGTATTGCTATTTCTTGGTCTGAGTTTTCAGTTAGAACCTTAAAAAATAAAAAAGGAAAAGAAAAAAGAAAGACAGAAGGAAAGAAAGGTAAACATACTTTAGATTTTGATTTTTTTTATCTTCAAAGCAATTTGGAGCAATGTTATGCTATCTTAGCTTCTGAGGATTACTTGAATGATAGAGACACTCAGGATTGATTACTCATTTCAGTTCAGAATTGGACTTAGTCATTATAGGAGCAAAATATGCAATTAGAGAAAATAGCATTTTTATATACTCATAGACTTGAGTAAACACTATGATTATTCCAAATGACACCTCACTGTCTTTACTGGCCTCATATAAAGAAAACATTCGCTTTCATTTTATAGACTCTTTTTAAGATGGACTGAAGGGTCACCCTGAGCATGACAACATTTAGAAAACAAAGTAATCTATAATATAAAAAGGCAAAATATAATTCAGATATTTATCTAGCAGTCTTATAAGCATTTTAATTATTTAAGTCAGATAGTTTTCCTTAAAAGGAGCATGCAATGAAGTTTCTACCTTCTTGTTATAAAGCAACTTACATACTGGCTGCTATAATAGGGAATCCCTCGTCCCCTTGTCTTCAGCACCAATTACTCCCTCTTTCTTCCATGGAGGATTTTCTTCCTTGTGTACCTCTCAGGACAGAACAGAACTGACAGGGGCATCAAGTTCAGATTAAACTCCTTTTTCCCCTAGCTCTCCCTTAGTCTTGAGGGGAGGAAACATTTCCTAACCCCAGAGGAGTTAAAACCACTCCCAGGTTAGCTTTCAGTAAGGTGTAAAATTGCTTCTGCCTTTGTCTCCTAACATCCATCCTTTTTTTTTTTTTTCTTTTTGGGGGTGGTGGGGAGGATGCTGGCAGCTCTCTTCTTTCTCTCTGAATAGAAGCCGAAAATTTGCCAAAGTTGCTAATCTCGTAGGGAGCATACACAATTGAACCCTTCTCTCCAACTCTTCAGTGTTTTTCCGAGACATTCACAACCTCAGAATTGAGAGTTTTTCTCCCTCTCAATTCAGTCTGGAAAAGGTCAAGATAGAACATACAGTTCTTATCAATTTTAGCATCCATGGTACAGGTCAATGGATTTCCCAGCACCGAGTTTGAAAGTAAACTTTAAAAATGCAGTGTCCAAAACTATCTTTAGTTGCCTCTGTGCAAAAAAATAAAAATAAAAAAAAAATAAATAAAGAGAGAGAGAGAGAGAAAGAGAGGGAAGAAAAGGAAAAAGAAGAAAAAAGTAAGTGCAGTCCTACTTCAATGGGTTAGTGATTACCAGGATATGTGTTCTCCATAGTCTACCTCTGTTACATAGGAAAAAGGGAGCATGAGAAGGAGACTTTAGAATAGAAAACCCTGGCACTCTGCTGCATAGAAATTGCAGTCTGAGCCTGTGCTATTCCTGACAGTAAAATCAACCAGGGAAATTAGTCAGTGAATTACCCAGCACATAAATACTTATCCTTGCCGCCAAAGAGCAGAAAGAGTTAACTTCCCTCCAGTGTCACAGAATCGTATTTCTCCTCCAGGGATCAGACCCACTTTACAAGGAACTCTTTGTTTAGAGACCATTTATGAGGATAGACTCTGCTCCTGGCCAAACACTCCTGTAAAGCAAGTGTGGACCTCTCTCTGTCCATCCACTTGTCTACTGAACATTTCACCCATCTTTCAGATCTGTTTTGAATTGTTATATCCTCTCCTTTGTCAGTATTTCAACCATGTTTTGAGGGACAAAATTGTATCATTTCAAGAAGTGACCCAGAGCTGCCAAAATGCTTACCGGACCATGAATGCAAAATATTTCAGTCAGCCTGTGACATGGTGATTAAGGCATCTGGATCTCACATGGGAGACTGCACAGTTCAAGTCCCAGTCTTGGTGCCTTGAAAAAAACACACCAGGCATGTGTCCCTGTGTATCCACATTGCTGAGAAGGAAAGAAAAAGTATGGTGGCATGGCCATCTCCCCCGGGGGGTGCTTTCTCACTTTCTCTCTCTCCCTCTGTGTCTCTGGTGAGCACACATCCTATAGTAAATTGTAACTAAAAATAAATAAGCAGATAAACAAATAAAACATTTCCACAAATTGTGCCCATAACATTGACCATTCACTGGAGGTTTCTGATTTATCATTGAAGGACGCTTTATGAACAGAAGAAATCACTACAGATTTCTTAGTTGGCTTGCTCTCGCCTGCTCTTATGAAGCGTGAAGATAGGATGAATTTAATCAAAGCCCATACCAGGCAGGAACATGGGGGTACAGGGGTGACTGGACCCAGCACTTGCAGCGAGACACAGGTTCTTGTCCCACACTTGGGAAGAATTAGAGATGTGGACACAGAGAGTAGGTATGGCAAAGTGGGGAGTTTACTGAAGGAGAAGGAAGGAAAACCAGGGCTCCTGAGGAAAAGGGTGAGGTCCTGGAAAATGGGTTGCCAAACAGGAACTGGGGTGAAGGGTTTTTATCTGGGTTGGAGGAGCCTTGTTCTCCTTGGGGCTCATGCATGCATTCCCCTTGCCGTGCGGAGGAGCACATGCTGGAAGGGTCCAGTTATTTTTCTCCTAATTTTGGAGTAGGGACAAAGGTCAGGAGACTCTTTGTCTAGAGGTTTTGTGCTATATAAGCCATTAGCTTATCCTCTTCCCAGAATATGGTAGGGCCTGGGAAAAGCCTTTGTCTTAGGTCTAGATCATGCTGCTTAGGTCACTGAGATGCCACTGCAGAAGGTCTCTCTGAGCAAGAGGCCAAGCTGCTATATCTCCATCTAACAACATCCGTTTTGTGATTCTATTGTGGGCTTATACCCTAACTATATTTTTAGGGTCCCTGTAACCTCATAACTTCAGATTACAAGGTGGATTTCTAGACTGAATTGTTTGCTTGCTAAATGTATTCAACCCCATTGCTTAAAGGGAACTACACATATTGTAGGAGTATGAGAGTCAGTAGAAAACACAGTTCATAAATCAAGAGCTACTGTGGGACTCTGCTCTTTTCTCCTGCCAAAAAAAAAAAAAAGTTTTTATTTGAAATGGCATTTGGTTGGCATCATTCTGAATTCCAGCAGTGCCAGCAACTATTATAACCAAGCCACTTTTAAAGCACCTTCCAAAATGTGCTAATCGGTGAATGAATTTTCAGCTAATACAAGTTGCAAGTGAGCAAATTTGAGTGCCTGGAAACTTCACGCTGAATAATGCCACAATTTCAGAGACACAAATTACAGCTGTGAGAATTCTGCCCCAGACTCACCATGTCTTCCAATGTAGTTCATTATTGTGGCCACTAATTTCAATTTATCCAGTGACAAGGATTGAGATTCTGTTCAAGTTCATACACTTCATTCATCTGTTCTTTGAATTGCTAACTATGTAAGGGAGGTATTTTTCAAAAGACAATTGTCTTTAAGCTAAATGATAGATTATAACAAATTAATCATATTAATAACACTCATTTCTCAGCCTACCCAATGAACAAAGTTTATGGTGACTCTTTCATCAAAATGACTAGATAAGGGACTGGGAAGTGGCATGGTGGTTAAAGCACTGGACTCCCACATTGCCGATAGAGGTTTGAGTCCCTGACCTGGTGGCTTACATTCTCGCTTTCTCTCTCTGGTCAAATAAAAATAATGAGGATAAATTCAATTCAGTAAATTTTTAAAAATGACTTGACAAAATAAATATTTGTTAATTTCTTGGTTAGTATATAATGTAAATTTGAGCATTTTTCCAACTGTGTGCCATTAAATAATGAACGATAGGGCTTATTTTAGTACTTGTGGTTTTTTCAGATTGAATCCAGCCTTACAATTGCCTTAATATTTACATAATTATCTTGTCACCATCGATTCCTCTATGAAAGAGCATTTACTGAGTCTCTACTTCTGTACTTCTTTTTGCATGTTGCTCTATAGAAAATGATGGTAGCTATTTCCTTGGTTTTAAATTCTTATTTTTATTGGAAAAGGAAATTAGGTAAACTATAATTATAAAATTGTGGAATACATAAAGTTCAAAGGTAGGGGCTGGCAGGTGGCATGGTGGTTAAGGGCGCTGGACTCCCACGTGACTGCCTGCAGTTCAAGTCCAGACGTGGCAGCTTGCTTTCTCATTTTCTCTCTCTCTCTCTCCCTCCCTGGTAGAATTTAAATAAAGTTAAATAGAATAATTCTTTTAAAAAAATAAAGTTCAAAGATAAATATTGTATCAAGTAAGGTCTATTTGACCAGGAAATTCATGATAAGAGTCAGCCATGAGATGGAATCATTCTACAGAGAGAGCGTAAGTAAGAGATGAAATATAGTCAACATCATGAATTGCTTCCTCAGAAAGCCATTTAAGTTAATTAAAATGTCCAAAGATGCATAGGGGAGCATGAAAGACCCCCAAATTTGCTTTATCTCAGTCAGAGAGCAGAGGAATAGAAAGTTAGTGGTGTCACAGGACCAACAAATGGCATAATGTTTATGTCGCTGGACTCCCACATAGTTGACCACGGTTTGAGTCCTAGACCTGATGGCTTAAAATGCACGCCAGACATGTGTGTGTGCATGCATGCCCAAAATCCCAAGAAGAGACTGGAGGAGAGTAGACTGTGGCATGGCCATTCCCCCGGGCGGTGATTTCCTGCTTTCTGTCTCTTAGTCTCTCTGTGTCTCTTGGGCATGCACACATGCCCTATAGCAAAAATCTCTCTCTCTGAAAAAAGGAAAGTCAGACGGATCAGCTGATCCAACCCTGATAGTCACGTCCCTCATATCTTGCTCAGTTTATTAAGTTGTGACATAAATCAAGATTTTTTTAGTTTACTTTTACTAGTAGGGTTAACTGTTAGGCCGTAGCTTTCTAGGTCTTTGCATGGATTTAAGAAGAAACTTTGACTAATTTAGCGTATTTCACATGGGCTATAAACAACAGAGAACATTTTCAATTAAACAAATGAACAGTTTGCATATTCCTTTCTCTTTCTGGGTGCCCAGAATTGCTTCAGTCACAATC